GGTTGACAACCCATTTGATGACCAAGCTAACTAGCTATTTTAGCTAACTCTCCTTCTCTATAAGCTTCTGGTTTTTGCAAGCAAGCTGAGGGAAGCATTTTACAGTAACAGTGTATTGTCAGATTTTAACTGGCGTAGCAGTGATTTACTCCCCACAGAACTTACTTTAATTGAGTTATTTTTGCTGGAGTGGGCTAGCTCCAGTATTTTACATGAAAAAGAGGTCATCCACAAGTTAGACCATTTCTTTTCACACCTTGCACATTATACTGTATTTGAAAATTTAAGAATTGAAATAAAAAGGAATTCAATTATTTTCAGTATGTCTAGTAAAGAGTAGAAAGGTTATGGAAAATGTGAAATTATTCATAGACTCTGAACAAAGATAAGGGTTGTTGCATTTTAACTTATACCCAGCTATAGTCCTTGAATTGGCATGATGATAAATCTTATTTTTTTATTTTAGGGTTAAGAAATACCATGTATAATGTCAAATATTCTTATCTAGTGATTAATACTATTTTTTTCTTAGGTGTTTTTCTATGATTCATATAAGAATTTTTGTGCAGCCATTTTACTTCAACAGAAGTTTCTTTCAACCCATACAGTAATAGTAAAAAGGTGAAAACACACAACAGAAGGAGGAGTTTGTAGTTAAGTAATGACTGCGTTTTTGAGATTTGCTTTCTTCAACACCAGACACACTAATGTTCATCACCTACTGATGTCCTGAGTTGAAAGAAACTTGAGTCGTCAGACTGAACTGAGTTCGGCAGTAGATTCTCTGAGCATTAGTATATATTGCCGTGCTGTTCAGGTTTATCTTCAACCCACTTCCGGTATAGTTTTTGCTGTATTTTCTCTTGCATATAGTAGCACCAGTTTTTTTCCTATGAGCGAAGGAAATGGGTAGTTTTTGTGTCCTGTTGTAGCTTTAAAGATGTCCGATTGACAAAGCAGAAGATTTTAGCAATGGTTGAAGAAAAGATGGGTACCTGTTGGAGTCAAACTAAGGTGAATTTGATATCAGTGTGTTTTAAAAAACTGCATATTAGATTGTTGGTGGTGGTTGTGGTTCTTTTTTAAATCTGCTCAAAATCAGTCAAGCTACATTCTGATCTCCCATAAAGAACTTCTCTCTGGCTTTGAGGCTTATTAGTGAGGGTTTGTGTCTTTAGATAATTTGATATTGATGTGTTTATTAAATTTCTCTTGTGAGATCAACCAGGAGGTGATTCAGAAAATTGTTAGCATGATGCAACCTTGTGAGCTGAAGGATAATGTTACTTTAAGCTAAGCTTGGAATTAAATCACTGGTCTACTTGTCCCTGATTCTGAGTTAATTTGGCTTTCTTTTGTCACAGATTTTAGTTATACTTAAACTATAAATTAGATATTCATCAAGTGCTGTGGATTATCTTTTTATTGATCTTTTACAATAATCAAAAGATTTGATGTAAAAGTTTTTTTCATCATTATGTTTATCAATGGGGTTGACCTTTTGTGCGGTCCTGTTTCTTGCAGTCGGGTTTGTGAAAGGAGTTTTTATTTTGTTGTTAGTGTTGTTTATCAAGTGCCATGATTTATAATGGCAACTGTTGTCATCAGGGACCTTGTGACAGATCCCTGTTATGTGAAATTCTCGTGAATAACATTTTATCATTTTGATGGTAATCAATTAGCATGCCGATTTTTTTTATTTTAGGATGTGCCTGGTTTCTTCCTTGCGTCTACTGTAATTGACTTGTTCTCAGGTGACCTCTCCAGACAAAAGAAATATTGTCTGAATGCTTAACTGATCAATACCTTATGCTCTTTGCAAAATGTTTTTAAGGCTATCTGATCGCAGTTTGTTGTCCAAGGACCAGTATCCATCTAGGACTGATATATGTCACTTGTTACATTATTTGATGATTAGTGATATCATTAGTGATATCACTGTACAGGCATTTTTGTGATATCATTATCCTTTACAATTTGCATACATAACACCAGTAAAAAGCATATTTTCTAAATGTAAATTAAAAGGAAAATGTTAGACTTGCAGATCACATCACTGCAAACCACTTCCCGTCTGATAATAAGACAGTGTTTCCTGTCCTCAAAGATGAGTTAACAACATCCAGATAAAAGTAAACTGCTTACCTATTCCTCCTGGACCAGAAATACATTGATTATTTTGTTCTGCTTTTACAAGTGCAGTTTGAGTTCTTTTACAATGCAGTTCAAGACTGCGAGTCTCTTGCTAAAAAGCTCTAAATGAGCTCCAAAATATCTGTGACTTAAACATTCTTGAATATACAGATATGGCATTAGCAGTCCAGGATATCTGCAAGAAAAAAACCCACCAGGAATTAAACTAAAAAACATATTTAGTTTATATATTTAGAAGAGCCCAGTTTTTGGAGAGCAGGTAATATGTTGGACAGTGTGCCATAATTATTGTATGGAGCCCTGGTGCTGTTCTGCAGAAGTCGGTGTTTTCAATCAATAGTGAAATGTAAGCAGTAGACCCATCTCCAGTACAGATGCTCCAAAGCAGCATATTCGACACAAATTTCTGTTGGGGAAACGAAACACTTTATGTATTGAATAGGGATTCGTGAATGAGGCTGTCTGAAGTCACCCATTAACACCTACATACATGTATGATTGCACAGCAATAAATGGCTATATCTGTACTGAACTGTGTATGAAATGAAATAAATAATAAGACTAAATACTGTATAGTATAATAAAAAGGATAAATATGACATTTGCATTTACTTCAAGGATTGCATTCAAAGTAGTTTGGCAAGGATGGGAAGCAATCAGTTTGTATAAACTATAGTAAGTCTTTTCTTTGAATGGTGAGGATGAACCTTACCAAGTTGTCTTCTCCATGCGACCACTTTTTGCCTTGCGTTTTGATGCCATACTGCTTTGTCGTGGTACTAAGCAAGTACAAAATGCTGAATAAAGTCAGTCATGACTTCACCACACTACTCGCAGTGACAGAATACACAAGACTGAGAGAGTCTTAATCTTGGGGCAGAAGTGTAGGAAAGACTTTAGTACCTGCGTTACCATGGATTTTGGCACTGCGATCCTTAGTCACATTTTTCTAGCATATTTGTTGTTATTGATTTCTTTTTTGTGTGTAATGAAATCAGCATTGGACGAATCCACCTTGGAGAAGGGTTTACTGTTCATAAAATCCATGCATCTCAAAAGTTTTAGATGTCATACACCTCACCCTGATGGAATTTTCTTGTTAAGAGTGATAAGATAAGTATCTCTCCAGTACTCTGGAGTATTCTGATTATAAATCACCGAATACATGTAGCAATACGTACTTTCATGTTCTAAGATTCAAAAAGAAGTGTTTGAAGTCAACTTACTTCATAAATCTTGCCTGCTGTTGCCATCACTGCTGTCCAATTGTAGTATTAATGGCCTGAGAAAAAGACAACTTTTGTGTGCCCTTTAAATAGTATTGTTAACCTCTTTTACAGCTGCTTATTGTATAACAAAATAACTTGAGTTTGATTTTCTGTTGTATTTTTGGCCAGCAATTCTCATATTGGCATGGAGGATTTTCTAGGCCAGGATTGGATTTGCCAAAAATGTGATTGTACACAGACATTTGCCTCACCCAATTTAATGAGTATAGAAGATACAGACAGAGCAGCACTAACAGAAAACACTAGCAGACTACTTAGCTGGGAATCAAAGCAGTTCCTCAAATCACAAGACTGGTTTTCACTCCTTCCTAAATGTGATATTTCAAGACTAGACCCACTATTAACCGATATATAACATTTCAGGAAGAATTTATTGGCAAGTATTTGGTCTGCATTTGGATACAGAGCACACAAACCCTGCTTAGGAGGAATAGGTGATGCAACATTTTATTTAATAGAGTGACATGAATAATTCAGTCTCTGAATGGCTCGTAAAGCTGATTATGCTGTAAGTACACCAGGAGGCAAAGTGAACAAATGTTATACAGGCCAACACCTACTGAACATTTTTTATTTATGATTGTGCTTTAGAGTTGACAGGTGTTGCATTGTTTTTTTCCTCATTATTAACAATTCTGTAGCAATCTTACCTCTTTGTTTTTAAAATATGAGTATATTTTATTTGTATACTCCTAAATGACAGGATTTTGTCTGAACGAGAGCAGAATTTGGTAAAACAAAATAAAAAAAAAATCTATCTTAATACCCTGAGGATTATCACTGACAATTAACACCTTCAGACAAACTGGTGTGCACAATTTTGCACTAATTCTGTTACCGCAGGAACTGTTAAGGGGACAAAAATACTAAACTTCTATAGTAAATTTTAACAGCTGAATTTTGGAAGGCTTAAAATTGTCTTTTTCTAAAACCTTTTAATCTATAAAAACATTTTTTGCCAATCTAATATTAAAATTCAGTTCTTATTTCCCAAATGTTTTTTTGGAAAAAAATGAATTGTGGGAAATCTGAAAAGACCTGTCAGTGTTTCCAGTTTACAAAATCGTGAATGTTTTTCAACAAAAAGAATTGTAATAGGGGAAAAAAAAACCTTATCATAATGAGTATTATTGATTTGTCTCTTACAAGGAGTAACATTTTATAGCAGACAACTCCTGTAAAGTGGTACAAAATGTTGATCACAAAAATGAATCTGTAGCAGAGTTTATAGGCAAAATAAATACATTGGAATCGTGAATGTTTAAGTTCAATTTAAACTTCAGAGAAAAGCAGCTGGCCTATCGGAATAGGAGATACTGATTCTAGATAATCTAAAAAATGCAAACACTTGTAAGTCAGATGACAAACAATATTAATTTGTAATGCATTACAGGCCAATCTATGTTTTCCTTGAAGCCTTTATTAAATTAAGTATTTGGCACATCTGGAGGTTTTGACGAGACAAAGATGCCACTAAGCTAAAGAGAAGGAGCGGTTACATTGAAGAAAGGCAGCAATGTAGAGTTTTAAGTTTACCATACTGTTTCTTTTCCACAGGACCAGTTTGACAACTTGGAAAAGCACACGCAGTGGGGGATCGAGTTTGTGGAGCGATACACCAAATTTGTGAAAGAGAGATCAGAAATTGAAATCAATTATGCAAAGCAAATTAGGTAAGGATGTTTTTTGTCCTTTTTTAATTCAGTGTGTTGAAGGAGTTGTGTGCTTCAATAGCATTCACATACAGTATGTATTATCTAAAATTCCACCCTGAATCACAGTGTTTAATCACTGCTGATAATTGTAAATCTTCTGCATCTGTTCATACCAGACCTCATGAATTGGGCAGACTCATTAAATTTAGAGAAGGCCATTTGACCCATTTAATACATTTGGTGGTTGGTAGCTAATTGATCCAGGGATCTCATACAGCCATTTCTTGAACCAGGTTATCGGCTTCAACAACATGGCTGGGCAGCTTGTTCCATTCTCTCACAACCCCCTGGATAAATAAGTGCCTCCTGTTCTTGGTTTTACATGTCCTTCCACCTACAGTAGTTTCCACTTGTGTCCTCTGGGTCATGTTTGATTGTTCATTGTGAAGATGTCTGCCCTTGACCGAAAACGTAGACCATATCATATGAGGTCTTAATGGAGCATAATGTAATTTTAACAAAAAATACCTTCATTACGTTCTGTGCTTCTAACTATATATCATATTCTTTTTTAATTGTTCCCTCACATTGCGTAGAAGATGTAAAAAATTTCAAATTAAACATCTCAGTCTTTTTTATAGGTATCCTCCTCTACCTCAGTGTTTTTTCATTTTGTATTTATAATTGGTTTTTGCTTGTATTTTATCAAAATGTGTGTGAATTTTATTTTGCTCCTTCTAGAAGTGATTGCAAATCATCCTCAGACTTCACTAGTTTGCTAACTATACCGGAATCAAAATCACTGATATAAATTTAGAAGAGCAGTGGTCCTGATACAGATTCTGGTGGTACTCATCACCCCATTGGGAAGCAAGATTGCAAAGTTTAGAGATACCCTGCAAGATAAACTAGAAAACAGATATTTCTATCACCCTGCAACTCGCCACTGGCAACCCACTGAAGCTAAGCAGGTGTGAGCCCTGTCAGTAACTGGATGGGAGACCTCCTGGGAAAAAACTAAGGTTGCTGCTGGAAGAGGTGTTAGTGGGGCCTGCAGGGGGCACTCACCCTGCTGTCCATGTGGGTCCTAATGCCCCAGTATAGTGGCGGGGACACTATACTGTAAACAGGCGCCGTCCTTCGGATGAAACGTAAAACTGAGGTCATGACTCTCTGTGGTCATTAAAAATCCCAGGGCATTTCTCAAAAAGAGTAGGGGTGTAACCCTGGTGTCCTGGCCAAATTTCCCATTGGCTCTTACCAATCATGGCCTCCTAATAATCCCCATCTATGAATTGGCTACATTACTCTGCTCTCCTCCCCACTGACAGCTGATGTGTGGTGAGCGTTCTGGTGCACTATGGCTGCCGTTCCATCATCCAGGTGGGGCTGCACATTGGTGGTAGTGGAGGGGAGTCCCCACCACTACCTCAGAGGCCTCAGAGGACTTGGGTTCAGTTCAGGACAGGAGCATCTTCTACAGTATTTGCAATTTTCATGTTAGTCCTAGCAACTGTCTGGAGTGTAGTCCTTCCTTGCATCCTGTGCTTCCAGGATAGGCTGTTATCCTTACTGGGAATACATGGCTTTATTTCAATGGATTGAAAGATGGAGTGTAGGAACTGAATGAATATTTTCAGTTTTTGACCACTCACATTCCAGAGTGCTGAGGGCAAACTGACAGTGAAAACTATTTGCTGGTGGTTGCTGTGTGGGAGTGGAGGAATATTTACAATCTAAAGTCAAGCTCAGGTCTAATGAGAACGGCTTTTCTCATGTTACAAATAGCTCAATCGCCATGAGAGAAAATGCTGTGAGGCTTTTGTTTCATAGGGTCATTAGAGTGGTGGGCTGGTGAACAAGCAGACAAGAAAAGTTGTAATGCCTTAAGCAAGCAGGGAGTTTGATTTATGAGAACTTAAAAATTTCAGTACATTCTGCATTATTTCTCCTGTTATGAAATGTAGGTCTTCTCTCTTTTTCTAAAAAAGGCTTTGCAGAAGTGACATTTATGAATTACGGATCCAGGTGAGAAATTAGTTTGGTAAATACCATAATGTAACAGTGGCAGTACGTAATTAATATTTTAGTTTTTTTAAACCTTCTTATAATATAACACATGTATATGAGAACGATCTTGGAGTTATTGACTCGTCACTTTATTTGACTAGATTATAGCTAACCAATACTAAAAAACTAAAAACGCTACTATAATACTTTAATAATTAAGAGCGTAGAACTTAAAACAATGAATTAAGTCACAATAAAACGAATACATTAGTCAGGCCTACTTGGATTATTGTAGTTGGTTATGGTTACACAACAAGAAAGACAGTATGTAGGAGAATGTAGGAGAACAGATGACCATTTCTTTCTCTGACATGGGCCAATTCAACTGGGAGAACTTTTTCAAGATCAGCAGCAACACAAGGACCAAGGGATGCAAGTGAATATTAGGGTCATTCTGGACAGAGAGCCATTTCTTTATAAAGGAGGACCCCAAGTCAGAGATGTGACATGTGACACGGAGGTTTTAAAACAGTAAGCCAAAAATAAGCAAATTGGCAAGATAGGCCCAAAGGTCTCTTTTTTTTTATAACCTTTCTCATGTTTTACAGCCAGTGTATAAATTGTTACATACTTACTTAGGGGTGAATTTGGACTGGAAATTGGGTTAGAGATTCTTGTATGTCCATCTTAGAGTATTCCCATCTTAGATTCGGTGTCCATTTCATTCCCTTCTGCTGAATATCCTGTTTTTTTGCTCTGCTGCAAAGATATTTATCACAGCATCATTGTGAGATTGTATTGGAAGGTGTTGAAGGGGGAGACCTTAATGAATACAACAGCTTTAATTAGTGTGAAAATACAGAACGCAGTTCAAATAGGTAGCTGCATCAGCACGCGTAGGCTACAAAGGAACAAAGCGAAGGTTTATTTTCTTTTCAGCGTGGAATAAACCAACTTGTTCCTTGTTCCTTTTCAGTGTAGGGTATAGTTCATTATAATATATACCGATAGACATGTACTAAATTCTACGGAAACTCCAGATGCTCTTTAATGACACAGGTAAGGTCTCATAAGACATGTCTGTGGCAAATGCTTTATTTTAACCCTGCTCGAAGAAATGCAAAAGTATTAGCTTTGACAGGAAGTATCATTAACAAGAGGAGGATACGTTACTATGCAACATGTCTGTGTTCTTCGCAGCACTGACCTACATTCTGCATCTACAGTCAATCCTGGCAGCCTGTCTGTCAGAGATCTAGGAAACAATAATGTTTTTTGATGAGCTGCCTGAAGGGAGAGATTGGAGTCCTCTCTTCTGCAAAGACCAGTAAACAACTGCAAAATATTTCCCTGTTCTCTTGCTCTTCAAAATTTCTGTATGTTCACATGCTAATTGCTGATATCAAGATTTGTGTTTTTCTGTGATGTGATATGTAGCATTAAAGCTGAGACTGACTGATTTGAGAGTTCAAATATATTACCACATTGCAGTTCATAGCTTCTCATGTTCAGTATGTATTTCCGTAATTTGCATACAATTTATAGAGAATATGTAGAGTCTTATACTGTATGTAATTCGTACTTGCCCAGTTTGAGAGCACATCAAAAGCATGGTTTACGAGAGCTTTTTTATTGAAATATATGTAACACTTTCAACACTGAAGAACTTGCATTTATGTGTCAGCTCATTTCTTAGATTTTCACTGATTTTCCAGTGGACTGTTTGATTTGAAGTACATTATGTTTGAGAAAATTTGTTTTCAATGCAATGATCTTTGAGCCAAAAATGCAACTGAAACAATCTCTCATGATCTACAGAAACTTCCTTAGTCTTCCTGGTTATACCGTATCATCATCAATCCAAGACTGCAAACACCCTGAAACACTGTTGATTAAACACTCTTACCATAATAGACATATCGTACTTACCAAACCAAATCCCTAATCCTTCTTAATTCCTACTCTATTTTGTCTTATTGCTTAAATATTTTCAAATCGTAATAGCCTATTCAGACATGACATCTGGTTGCTAAGAGCACAGAAAACAGATCATGAAACAAGGAGATCCTGATCTGCCTAGTAACAGGCCAGCCAGTGTGTGTGCAGTCTGGAGGACTGCCCTGAATCTTCAATCTTTTAGTGTTAAGAAATTGGTGTTTTTAAAGTGCTATTTCTGGCAGAAGGTGAAAAAATACAGCCTACATACAAGCTTTAGCAGCATTTGTGCATTTTCTTGACACATTTGGGAGACTGCAAGCCATTTTCAGATTAATCCCAGATATGTGAAAAAGCAAGATTTAAAAAGCATGTACAGTAAAAGCTTAGCAAAGAATAAATGGTGGTAATTAAACCTCTACTGTAGTGTGCCTCCATGTGAGTGGTGCGTATCTGCAGATTTATACTCAGGATAGTCAACTTTTAAACTAAGCCACAGGATATCCAGAATGCAGTTATGTTGTGGTGAAGTAGTAATTACAGTGATTTCTGCAAACATGGAAATATTTTATAAGGTTGTGCATTGTTAAGTTGCATGCATTTTGCAACCGAAATATACTGCATGAAGCATTTTTTTTATCAACTTTGGAATTGTTGCATTTTATTCAGTGAGTGCTGGTGCTGAACTGGCTGTCTGGGTGAAAGTCTGCAGACCTTAGAGCCTGTCTGGCCAGTCCAGTTGAAATAGAGACAGAGATAAGGGAATCCCTGTGCTGTGGTTTTAGTGGAGCAGGAACAAGATCAGCTCTATGTGGTCTCTGGGGCACCTGAACCATGTGCCACTTGCTGTGCCTGAGTGAGCACATCATTCTTAAAAAAAGAGGAAAAGGCAAAGGGAAAAATTACAACTGCACATAAACACAAGCATGGCTAATGTCATTGTGTTGTTAATGGAAATTGTTCTGACAACTGACCATTGACAGGAGATAATAAAAAGGGCAATCTGTGCCTCAGCTTTTGAGTCTGTTGATTTGATTGCATTGCCATATTAAATAAATATGGCTTGTTGCTCTGACAGAGAAAATAATTTGACAAAGGGAGGGTGTGATCTGAAGCATTGGTGTTATTCTCCACAACAAGAAGAAAAGGAAGTATTATGGAAGAGAAAGGGGGCAAACAATACTGCTGCATTTGCCTATTCAAAGCACACAGGGCTCAGGTGTTGAAGAACGAGTATGTTAAAAAGATTCAGTGGGCTCAGTCTGTCTCTTACCGCCTTGATTACACTAAACACGCAACCAGAATGATCCTTAATAATCGGATATATCTTCTTTTTCCATTTATTTTTTGGGAATATGAAAATACATTGAACTACACTTTGATGCCATGTCTAGCTGTTTCTGTACTGGATAGATTGACTCTCAAGGTTATGGCTTTCTAATTGCACCTCTTGAGGGTTTGTCTTTAATTTTCTCAGGACACCATTGCTCTTTTTTCTATCAGGGTTTTAACTGAATTTGTCTTTCACATGGTGAGATTATACAAGACAAATATTTTGATCTAAAATCTAAATAATTTGGATCATCAGTTCGGATGAATTCCTTTAAACCTCTCTTCTGAATTTCCGAAGGAGAGTGGCATGGTATGAACATAGTGAAGATGTCTGCATGATAAACCCCACCCTATGATTTTAGCATTATGACAGATAATAACCACAGTCTAGTCAGCACTAAGAGATATTCTTTTTCAAATTGTTGTAGTCCTTGCTACTACGTATTATTAGCTTTTGTCACTCAGTAGATGTCCCCATATTAAACTAAGAGAGTACACTGAAGAGTGAAAAATCTGGAGAGATGCTTAAGATTTGTGTGACGGAGAAATGGGGTCATATTGAACCTATTTAACTTTCTAAATCTACAAGACCATTAACCTTAAAAGCAAGGTGCTGCAGCTTAAGTTCTTCATGTACTCATTCAGACACAAAGAGAGAAAATATCTACATAACTCTTAAGAGAGAAGAACTGGTAATATTCCCTTAATTAGCACGGTTTTGTTAATAGAACCCTTTCCCAGGTTGGAATACCTTTTTTTTTTTAATGGCAAATGGCAATTTTCAAGGCCTTGAGATTTTGAAATATGCCTTTTAATTCTTTTGTTTTTTAACTTGTGCCAAAAGAAAATTCAGTGGATTAGGGTTTCATATATTGCATTGCAGAATGCCACCAATATCCTGTACTGTATTTATATTTTTGTATTTTGTAGATGGTTTGACTTTGCTTTTTAGCTATCTTGTGACACTGATTTCCCCCAGTCTTCTGTGTGTCTATTTATTGTTTATTTCGGTTGCATACAGTAACAGCATGTCACTTTTGGGTATGAAAAGATAATTACAGGCTCTTCGTCCTGAGTTATGGTTGAGCAGTGGCTGAGATCCAGCCGTCTACTGTGATGCTGTTATATTGGTACTGCAACACTGTTGAATAATCCAGTCTCGCAGTAACTGGACAGCAACAGTACCTGCCCCTTCATGCTAGACACCCCTTAACAATACGCTTTGCTGTTGTTTCACAGGAATCTTTCAAAGAAGTATCAGCCTAAGAAGAACTCCAGAGAGGAGGAAGAAAACAAGTAAGATAGGATTCTGTACCTTCACAGTATATCAGATCTCAAGTTATCAATATAACTCTCCTGGTAATTGTACCAAATCATATTGACTGAAAACACTGAATTATTGTAAATCAAAGGAATTCCTGGTTACGAAGATGATGATAATTTTACTACACACTCATTGAAATTACAGTACGGTGTCACTCATATTGTGATATAAAAATTAAGTTACTGTACTACTATATGTTTTGATGTTTGCATCTTTACTGGAATAAATCACCCACCTTTTAATGTGAGCGGTTTTGTTTAAGATGTGTTTGACTCCTGCTAATTGCTTTCTCCTTAATAAAATAACTGTTAATAAAAAACGGTTTATTTTGTGTATGGGGATTAATCATTAAAGTAACACTGCCACTAAATCACTTAATTTTGTCACTCTGGGAGAGATGCATCCTACAGTATTAGCCACTAAAAAATGTGTGTGAGTATGAGGGGGAGTTGGTAAAAGCTCACATTTCATTGTATCTTGGCTGTGATATTTACTTTTTAAAAGGTGAGGAATTTGTATTTAAAGTGCTTTGTGCTCACATCTTTTAGATAGTTAAAGACGTTCACATATGCGAATGAACACAAACCCTGTAAATAAAAAAAAATGTTGACAATGTCAGTGAAAATATCAACATGTGTAGTGTAGCAGAACAAGGTCTGTGCTGCCTGACAACTCGTAGTATTGCAAGAGTTTTCACAGGGTCTTAAAACAAATTGGACACTGTGCTCTGTGCACTTCATTGTACTCATAACAAAACCCTCTCATTCTCCTGACAGATTCACTTCATGTCGGGCTTTCTTATCTACCCTGAATGAGCTGAATGACTATGCCGGGCAGCATGAGGTCATCGCAGAGAACTTAACCTCACAGATCATTGCTGAACTGACGCGGTATATTCAGGAGCTGAAACAAGAGAGGAAGTCGGTAAGATTTATTTGCCTTGAATATTTCCACATAGGCCATGCCAAGCTAAATATGTATTTGCAGTAGCGTAGCCTTTATAAGTTGCACAGGAGAGAGGAACCAGTGCCATTTTTCTCTTGGGAATGTGCTGCCCAGTTTCCTTCGTCACTGGAACCAAACTTAGACAACACTCAGGAACCCATGGTATCAGAGCCATGCTAGAGTCACCTCAGCCACTAGACATTGCTCTAAAGTATACAGCAGACTGTATACATCTGTGGGCTGCACCTATTGTGTGATGTGTTAGATTTTGAGAGACTCAAGTTTTGAAATCTCTGCCAACTTTTGTAATTGATATTATGTATCACTCGCAGCTATCCATATTAAAGAGTGATCTTTAATTTGTCAATTTACTTGAAAATGGAAAAATAATTCTTAGTAACTGCTTTGTGACTTACTCCTTTGCATGGGGGCAACCTTAAATGCCTTTTAATGACTTAAAAATAGTGTCAGAGCTCTGTATACCTTTATTTTATGCAGTCCTGACTCCTGTGCAAGTAATAGTGGTGCCAATGTCATCGGAAATAGCTGTTAAAATCATTCATGGGAACTGAGTCATCCCAGCCGCCATGATAAGAGTCTGTTTGTTCTATCAGCAGCTAATTTTGACGGCAGCCTTTTGTGAGGTAATTAGAGTTTTTTAAGAACTTGTCATGCAGACAATGCCTTCCTGTTAATTTTCACATTGAAGCTGCGGATTTTCCATTTTCACTTCCAATTACTAGATTATGAGAATTTTCACCAAAAAAAATCAGCATTGCACTGTCCAATTAATCTGGTAAAGAAATTGGGTTAAGCATCCAGGTCAGCTGTTGTGTCCAATAAAATCCAGTCTTCTGGCAGTCACAAAGCAGGAGGCTCTGTCTGGGGGAAATGACTGGAAGTAATGCAATGTAGAAAAACATAGAAGGCAAGCTCCCTTCTGAGGTGTTAGGTATTGATGTCATCTCTAAAAATCTTCAAACCATAATATTCATTCCCGTTATCATATGGAATATATACATAATAGTAGACTTAGTAGACCTTGAATATTTTACAAAATGTGTATACTTCCTATAAACCTTCCTTTAAGGCTGGTTGTAGACTGATTTCTGTCTTACAGTGCCATAGGAAGCCACTTTTAGAGGAGGTAGAGGAGTTCATTGCCATATGTACATGTACATTGGAATTCTTATTTGCGCTGATCTCTCTGGACATACACAGTACAACAGACAACAAACTTGCCTGGTGTCAGAGTGAAAGTCTTGATGTAGCTTTACTGTCGTTAAAGTGTTCTGTATTGTGATCCAGGTTCTTTACATTCTAGAAACTAATAGAAACTAATGCTAGTAATTCATTTTTCTACACTAAAAGATACAAGTCTCTTACTCTGTTTTTTAGTATAGCAATATATAAGGACTGGGGCAGACCTATGCTTTCACTATGCAGAGCCTGCTGAAAATATACACATTTTATATGGTTATATATATATTTTTTCAAACATCACATTAAAATGCTTGTCTATTAGAAGTCTTCTTTCCGTGTATATTGAGGAAAAAAGAAGATTTTTTGTTGAAGTGGTTTTAACTTTTGCATTTGATTTTTTTTAACCATACTCAAAATACTGCATACTGTATATCAGTTAGTTCCTGTATTGGAATATACTGTTATTTACATCACTGTCAAAAATATAAAGATGCAAAACATGTGGACATCAGTTGAAACATGGTAAGTGTCTGAAAGAATCTGGTTATTTGTCTAAGCCTAAAACCACTTTAAGGGAACCAAACATTTTTGAGCATTTCAGACTTATCTTCTCCTAGTGAAGCTACTGTAGCAATGGAGGAACATTAAAAGTAGTGTCAAAAAAGCCTTCCAAAGTGATCTGCATGCCTACAGAAATGAGAGCTGTTATTGAACCTGGGAACTTGTCATACGTCTTGCCTTGTCAACAAACTCAGATTAAGTACATGGCTGGAATTTCCACACTAATTGTCTACATCAGATTGGCCTATGTCCAGTCCTGTTGTCTGTAGGTTTTCATTCTTGTTTATCTCTTAATGACTTAATTGAACTTTTTTAACATCTTTACCGAGGTCTTCGAATGGTACTGCTTTAAAGGGGCCTAGAAACAAAACACAGATGGGTCACCCTGGTAATTTTTTTAACACCACAGGTTGTAAAAAGTATAGAATCCACTGTTTTAAGGTTTTCTTATGTTGCTTGTTCACAGTTGATTGTAGCACAAGGGATGTTTATAGTCATTGAGCATAACAAATAATATACATGCCCTAGGACATTAGTCATCAATAGCTGAATCATTACATAGTTTTTTAAGTGTAGTCCACTTAAGACAGAATATAATTTCGTTTTACGTTTACAAAAAGGCTGCTTTAGTGTATCATTTAGCAGAACCTTGTGTCTATTTGCATTGCCAATGAGATGGTCTGGCATGTGTATTCCTGGTATAGTCTGTAATTCGCTGAACATGTCTTTTCTTGGAGTTCATATTGAGAAAATGTGTTGTGCAATTTGGATAAAAATGTCACCAAAGCAGCTATCGCTTATCACAAAGCTGCCTTTTCCTGGTGAGGACTGGGACAGCACCCTGGATGTCAGTCCATAAATTGTCCAGGGACAACTTTAACACAAGTCAGCCGATGACTGAAGGTGGGAGGAAATGGGAGCATCCTAGGCTCACACAAATATGGGAAGAAAATGCGGTCTCCAGACAGAATTTGCCAGTCTGGAACTGAACCAAAGACCCAAGAGCTATGAAGCAATGGTGCTCTGCTCAGCTACCATGCTGCCTGTCAACGAAATAAATGAATCATCAAAAGTGACATGTCTGGACTGAAGAAATACTGAGACTGAGAAGTACTTTCCCAGACTGTGAAATTCAAGTGGATGAAGAAGAGAAGTACTTCACTTCAAATCCTTGTCATATGCTGTGTTTGTTTTCTCTTATATGGTACACGTTCAGTCTTAAGCAAGCCTGATTTCAATTTGTTAAGGGGAGTTTTAGTAATCTATATGGATGTCAAGCAAGAGATAAGTGCTTATTCTGTTGAGGGCACTTTACTATTGCCTGTATTAAGTGCTTTCTATACACAACTGAAAAATAAATTAGCCAGGCTTTGGATAAAATAGCATTAGTTAGTAGTTATGATAAATGGAGCTTTCATGGATTATAAATAAAATTAAAATAAAAGAAATACATTCAGCTGTTGACACAAAAACAAAATATCTTGGGAGTTCAGATTAATTTTATCTTATTCCAAGAAGAACATGTCGCTTACCAAGCAGACAGGATATAGCCAAGATTTTTTTTCTTCTCTTTTTTTTCCCTGAGATGATCTTTGGTTTTATCATTGCTGAGTTCTTTTCTCCTGTTTGCTTGGCCTCCTTCCAGTGCATCATCCAAGAAACTGCTTGCAAGCCAGCAGAATGGTACAGGCCTGCTTCCCGTTGCACAGCTATCTACCAGAGCCATAACTCTTTTCTCACTGAAAGCTCAAAGAGAAAAAGAGTGAAAAAGGCACTTGCTGTGTGGGTGAGGGTAATTAAGATCAGGCACTGGAGAGTCCAAGATAAGGCAAGGAGAAATCTGTAGCTCAAACAGTGGCTAGTCTGTCCAGAAGCCAACCTTTTACATACTGTAAAAGCTCCCCTTTCTTGAGAAGATCACATGGAATTGTTTGTAAATCTCTGAAATTAGATATTTGTTTCTTATTTCCACTTTTAGAGCTAAACACTGTAAATAGTGTTTACTGTACTGTACTTTAGATACAGATATTACAAGTTTGAATTGTTAATAGGAGTTATGATTTTTTTATAGAACAAGGTGCTACAGTAGTTCCCTCAAATGTCTTGAAGGGATGCTGTAGGCCTAAGTGTTTACTCAATGTTGCCATGTAGTGCCTTTGTTATACGAGAAGTATTTTTAAGATACATTTTGCGGTTGATTTCCAATGCTTTAGTCACTTAGTCTCTTTTGTGCTTGTCTGTTCTACTACACATTCCCCTGTGCACTAGTTCTTATATATATATATGTTTTCAACAAAGGCCTTCCTCCTCCCCCTGACAGGTAGGACCTCTAGTTTGTGTTCTGTTTGGCTCAGAATCACACAGTTCAAACTTGAATATTCCTGCAGTACAGTATCTACCTTCTGCTCACAGTTCAGTTCTTCACTCTTCACACTCTGTGCAACGAGTGTGATCCCTAAGAAGTGCTTCTGGTTCGCGTGTGGTGCCTGACAAAATGTGTTTGACACGAGGTGAGATGCGTGTGGGCACTTTGAGTTACATTTTTAGAAGAATATGCCAGCTTGGATGTGGCAGCAGACTGGTGTTAATTCCAAACCGCAGTCACACGTACTGTACAAAATGAAACAAAAGGAAGGTAGATAATCACATTCCTTTTTTCAGTTTTAAAATGTTTCTTATATTGAGCGAGGGGATTTATATTTAATTCAAAATCTCCCATGAATAAAACAATATGATTTAAGGAGTAATTCTAGAATAATTCAAAGTTACCATTCAATGTTTTAAAACAATTTTTCTCTAACCTTGATAGGCAGAATGGTCTTTTTAATATTGAACTTTTTCATTTGGATGTCCTAAACTGAAACATTCCTCATCTTGAGCTTTTTGACTGCAACTAAAAGGTTAGGCTCGTGGTTAAGATCTGTGCTTTCAGATGATAGTAGAAAAGGTACCTCACAAAATACTTCTCCAAGAATTTCAGCTTCTCAATGGTTAATTTTCTTCACAACAGTGATGCTGAGTGATAAGGTCATTGCATGTCGAACCTAGCCACAGACTGTTCACCGCTTTGATGTTAATTTAATAATTAATAGCTTATGCTGAGACTGTCAGGGGGGTAGCATAAAGCTAAGGTAAAAAAAACATTTGCTAACAGACCATCTAAAATATAAAGGCTCTTTATGGAGACTTAACTGCTGGACATTTTTTACTTGAAA